ATATATATATATATATATATATTGCATACCCTAGTAACGCGGCCGAGTCGAGTCCGAGTGGCCAAGTCTTCCCACACTAATTTGGATGCCACATTAAAATATTGAAGAAAGAAATAGTTACAAGGCAAAAAAAAGAAAAAGACATAGGAGCCATCTTCATTCATGAAATCAGTCTCAAAAACACCAGTTGGGAAGAATAGACACACAATCAAATATTCAAACATATAAGTAAAACAGACAAATAAGTGTACCTGCTTGAAACCAAGCTCCATGAATGGATCAAAATTAGTCCACATGTCACCATACCATCTATACAAAGAAAGTTTAATATAAACTGGATTTGGCAGAGAGAATCAACAGTAGGTTCTGGTTTTCTTGTTTAAACATAGGCTAAACAGATGATTAAAAAAAAAAAAGAGAGAGAATGGATAGGTTTTGGCTGCAAATACTGAGAGAGATCAAAAGCGTACATGAATTTTAAAGTGAAGAACTTGAGAGGGGATCCATGTGTTACAAAGGCATTGAATGATTTCAATTACAAAAAAAAATCCATGAGAATTAGGAGATAAGTTCTTCGTTTTTTTGGGTAAGTGATATGTTCTTAGTTGATAATCCACGAGAATTAGGATAAGTTGTTAAGTTTTTTTTCGGTAAGTGATAAAGCTTTTAGTTGGATTAGGATTGTCCCAGATAATCCGTTAGATTTAAATTTGAATGTCGGGTAGTAAACCCCTCAGAAAATCCAAATTCTTACTGGCTAAATGATTTGATGCTCGCGCGGGGGAATACTATGCATTTGCTTCCTCGGGTTAAAGCTCATACTAAGAATATTTTTCTTGGACCCAAAATTTGAGGATGCAACTCCAAATTAATAATAATAATAATAATAATAGATAAGTAATAATAATAAGGGAAAATGACCTCTACCCCTCTCCCCAAAACTTCCATCCTTATTAGCCCTTTGAGTTCACCAAATCTCTTATATTTGATTATTTGATTTTTTTGTTTGACAAAATACTATCTGCCCTTTTCCTTCGGTTGCCTAAAACTATGGATCTCACTCCATAAATTTAGGCATGAAAAGAAAATTATTATTTTTTAATATTATAACCTATTTTACAATTTCATCAATATAGTTTGAACTTGAAAAATGATTAATCAAGATCTTTGTTACTATTGTTAATGGATTATTATTATTTATTTATTCATTTATTAAAAAAAAAAAATAGCAACATACCTATAAGAGATGAATTATTTAACAATTAATCTATTATAGTTGTTATTATAATTATTAGTTAATAATAATAATAATAATAATTATTATTATTATTATCATCAATAAAATTTGTATATCAAGTCACAATAAAAAATAGGGAAAGGTTTCTATGCTTCCCTTACAGTATAGAAGTTCTATACTCCTCCTACCATCCAGCTGTCCAATTTTGATCAAGAAAGCCACTCACCTTTTGATCTTAGATCCGATGTCTCAAAGTATTTTAGTTTTAGTTTTTTTTATACAAATTGTATGAATATGAAATTTGGTACGTGCCATCTGCTAATTGGGGCACACCTATAAAAAATATTTAAAAATAATTTTTTGATAAAATATAATGACCAAAATACCCCTTGAATCTTTCAGGGGTATTTTGATCATTTTACTATTGAAAATATTTTTTAAAATATTTTTCACTAGTGCGAGTTTAATAGAGAAATGGACATCCAAAATTTGGTCTCAAAATAGTTTATAGAAAAAAAAATTAAAAATAAAATAGTGTAAAGACGTGACATTGTGATTGGGGCAATCTTAGCCCTCCATTCATAATGGAGGGTTGAATAGGAAGAGGATAGAAGTTGTATGTTGTAGGAGAAGTATAAAAAGCTTGCCCTAAAAAATATAAGTGACTAATGTATGGGTTTGTCATTTTGTAAAACCAAAAGATCAAATTTGTAAAAAGAACAATAAAAAACATAATTAGGGGCTAATGATTCCAAAGTTCTAAACTTTAAGAGGTGCAAGGGATTTTGGTGAACCCAAAGAGCTAATAAGGATGAAAATTCCAGGAAAAGAGATAGAGGTCATTTTCGCTAATAATAAAATAGAGGTCTTCGCTTTTAAAAAAAAAAAAACCTCCATGACTGAACAAGAACCATAAAATTTCAATGCATGGGTGTTTAAGAACTCAAAGTCCAAAATTTTCTCATGGCCATAATCATATGATCATACTCATACAAATCCCAAATTTTCGATTAAAAAATTCTGTCAAGTAGGCCGATGGCTTGAAGAAGTAAAGGTACAGTTTACTCCTAGGGTAACTTGTATATATGCTCTTTTTATAAAATCGCTCCCAAACCAAGGTCAAACCAAATTCTAATTTTCCTTAATTTATAAATTCTTTCTCAACCCAAGGTCAAACCAAATCCAAATTTTCCTTAATAAATGTTTGATATGGTTTCTCTATAAAATTTTAATGGACTTTCTCTCCAAAAACATCAAATTTAAATTTGTTTCTCTAAAATTTTTGAGATAGTTTCTCTCTTTAAAATTTTCAGGTGAGTAAAGTTTCTCTCTTTAAAATTTTCAGGTGCTTTCTTACTCAAAAAAATTCAGATGCTCTCTCTCAAATTTAATGTAGTTTCTATCTCTAAAATTCGAAGATACTCTCTCTCTCAAATTTAAAACTTAAGATAGTTTCCTTCTTTAATAATTTTGAGATAGTTTCTTTATTTAAAATTGCCTAGGTAGTTTCTCTATTTAAAAATATAATATAGTTTTTTTCTCTAAAATTTTAAAATATTTCTCTCTCTAAAACTTAAAACTTGAGATAATTTCTCTTTAAAATTTTTGAGATAATTTCTCTCTAGAAATTTTTATTTACTTTCTCTCTCCAAAATTTGATGTAGTTACTATATCTTACATTTTTAAGATTCTTTTTCGCTCTAAAACTTAAAATTGGAGATAGTTTCTCTCTATGAAACTTTGAGATATTTATCTCTCTAAAATCTTTGGATAGTTTCTCTCTAAAATTTGATATGGTTTCTCTCTTTAAAATTTTACGATACTTTCTCTCTCTAAAACATAAAATTTGCGATAGTTTCTATCTAACAATTTTGAGATAGTTTCTCTCTCTGAAAAATAGGAAGTTTATCTCTCTAAAATTAGAGATAATTTCTATCTTTAAAATTTTAATATATTTTTCTCTAAAACTTAAAATTTGAGATAGTTTTTCTATTTGAAAACTTTGAGATATTTATCTATCTAAAATCTTCAGATAGTTTCTCTCTAAAATTTGATATAGTTTCCATCTTTTAAATTTTAATATATTTTCTCTATCTAAACCTTAAGATTTGAAATAGTTTTTCTCTCTAAAAAATTTGAGATAATTATTATCTCTAAAAAACATTTAGGAAGTTTCTCTCGAAAATTTGATATAGTTCCTATCTTTAAATTTTGAATATAGTTTTCTCTTTAAAACTTAAAATTTGAGATAGTTTTTCACTCTAAAATGATTGAGATAGTTTCTATCTCTACAAATTTTAGGTATTCTCTCTAAAATTTGATATAGTTTCTCTCTCTAAATTTTAAGATGCTCTATCTCACAAACTTTACATTTGAAATAGTCTCTCTCTTAAAATTTGAGATAGTTTCTCTCTCTAAAAAATTTCAAGTACTTTATCTCTCTAAAATTTTATAGTTTGATATAGTTTCTCTCTTTAAAATTTTATCATACTTTCTCTATCTGAAAGCTAAAATTTGAGATCATTTTTCCTTAAAAATTTTTGACAAAGTTTCTCTCTTTAATAATTTTTAACTATTTTCTCTCTCTAAAATTTTCATACTTACCAAATGTGCCCTATGTTTTGGGTCGAGGGGCCAACTAGCAGAATCGATAAAGCTTGGAAATTAAAAGAAAACCGCTTTTGGTGTAGAAATGAAATTGTGGTGATTTCCAAGATTTTTAATTTTCATGGTGCCCCAAAATTCATTGGCCCTTAATTTAATGTTAATCCAACAAAAATAGAGCCCAAAAAATATAAGGAAAAACAGGATGCACATTTGTTCGCAAATCACCCAAATCCCAGTTAACAAGATAAATTTTCCTCTCTCACCCCACAAATCCTGAATCCTAAACATATGTTTATAATATGTGAAGAAAACAAAAAAAAAAAGCAACTTGAGAAAGGTAAAGCATGGAAGAACCATTTTAATATGTAATTAGCACCCCTAATATATGTAACCACTATAATCATCACCCCGAAAAAAGACTACAAACTATTTAACAAAGATATGTGAGTAAGAGAAATCTTACCTCAATAGAAGAACTTTTAGAAAACCTCCCACCGAGCCCTCTCTCCTGTTGCTCTCGATGCTTAGAAGTTCACGTATAGATAAAAAGGTTTAAAAAAAACAATATTTATGGATTTAATGGAAGAAATAAAGATTTGCCACCTAAAACGTTGGGTAGAATGCCATAATTTAAAAGTAGTCTTCATCTTCCAAATCTACAAGCGGAATGGATACATGTGGCGAAAATAAAAAAAAATACCCTAATTCTATAGATACATTGCTGCTGCCAACTTTGATAACGGGAACAAGTTCATGAACTTTAAGTTGGACGTTCCTGAAAAATTGTAAATTAGAAGTTACTTAAGAAGTTTATAAGTTCATGAACTAGAATTTGGACGTTCTTGAAAAACTGTAAATTAGAAGTTACTTAAGAAGTTCATGGTTTCTATGTTTGATAACTTCCCTGGGAAGTTAAAAAGTTCATATTTTCTTTGTTTAATAACTCCTGGGATATATGGTAAATATCTTATATTTATATTTACATTGATAATAA